AACCGAGACCTCCCTTGCACCGCTTCTACTCTCTTCCTTTGTGCCACTACTTTCTGTCTCAACTATACTCCCCTTGTGTCCATGTCTCATAGTTTCTTTGTCATCTCGCTGAGCCCTCCTATAATGATTCGGACCTCCTTGTTTATCCACCAACCACTTACCACCCCTTATGGGGCTAATCTTTCCCCCACCACCTGCTCTGAGATCAGCACTAAAGTTTTTCTCCAACACGAGATCCTCCACATATTTTAATGGGCAAAATTTCTCAGAGTGTCCCATAACCCCACAAATGAAACAGAAACTGGGTAACTTTTCATATTTAAAATCAACCCAGTGTCCTTCCCCTCCCTTAGTCAAAGTAGAACCCTTTTTAGGGGGCTCCTCACATCCATCATTACCCTAACCCTCAAGTAAGAACTCCATTTTCCCTTAAAGTGGCTCTCATCAAAACTGGTAAATTCCCCAATATAGTTACCCGCCCTCCTAGCAGTATCAACATTCATAAACTTATACGGCACATTGTGCACTTGCACCCAGAACTCTGCTTCAAACAAGTCCATTTTATGTGGTATATCATTAGGGCCAACCGCGTTTAGCAATAACAGATTTCGCTCAAACAACCAAGGAACATCCTCTATAACACGATTCATATCAATTTTATGATTAAAAGTAAATAGATACCTCTTTTCACCAATTTCTTGAACCGTCATTCCTCTTCCTGGCCTCCAGAGCGGAACAAACAGGTCCTGTACTGCCTGAAATCTAACTTTCCGGTCGGTCGGTATGAATGACTCCCATCACCGGAAACTCCGCCGCCTTTGCGTTTGGAATGGTAACCTCTTCCGATCCTCCTCATCATCAAAATTCAGCCTGCTGTTTTCTTTCTCCAAAGCCTAACGTCTATACTGCTCTACCACATCCTCCATAGTTATAAAATTCGTCCGCCTAGATGCCCCTTCGAGAGGAACTCTGCTCGTCCCAAAAGTCGAAGCCGCAGCAGACAAACCAAAAGCCTTCCCCTGCACTCCTCGATGCCTGCCGATAGAAGTAGACCCAAACCACATTCTCGCCCCACCTTTGATTCGAAGAAGACCGAAACCAAGAATGAAAAGCAAGAAGGGAAAAACTCAACCTACGCTAAGGCGGCGGCGAGAAGCTACCGAACCCTAGAGAGAGAAATTCCCATGTTCCAAGAAAGAAAATTATTGAAGGAGAATTGAATGACTTTTAATAAAATTTCCGTTGTGATTCAAATTTTAAGTGTGAACTTAAAATTAATCTCAAATCAAATATATAAGAAATATAGAATAAAATCTCTAAATATAATTCTCTTATTCTTCACTTAAGAAAAGAAATTTAATTTAAGAATTTAATCTAGAATTAAACTTTAATTCTTCAGATATTGGAATGGTTTTTCAAATTTTTGAATCTTCAAATCTTATTTATTTGAGATTTTAAATATTTTTCATTCATCTCTGAATATTTAAGTCTTGAAAAATGGAAAAAATATTATTAATGGAGTTAGCATGGACAAAAATATGACCGTTGGAATATTTATTCGTCAGTTTATTATTCCTCTCTACTTATTTTTGCACTCGCTATTAGTCAGTTTATTAGTCTGTTTTATTTTCAAACCACTTAAAAAATATTTATTCGGAAAGATTACCATGACTTGTGCTAGCCTGTGATCACAAACTGTATTTAAAACTTCCTTTTTGCCACTCCTTGAGAGACGATACTCGTGGTCTGGTTATTCTTCGGATTAGCCAACTACGTTTTACTCACTATAAAATACACCGATCAAATGGCGCCGTTGCCGGGGAGTGGCACGGTTGTTTGTTAAGTACTTTTCTGTGGAATAGGTAAAAGCAAGTCGGTGAGACTTTCTATTTTTTTCTGTTATTTGTTTGTCTTTTTTGGTGTTCTTTGCACGTGAACTAAGCTGCAGGAACAAGTGTATGCGCACTCGCTCCTCGGGGGAACAAGATTTAATTGCAGGTTATTCTGATCCTGAACGCTTATTCCGAGGAAGAGCTAAAAGGCGTTTGCTAGAAGACTTGGAGAAAATGGCCGATCCGACAACTCTAGAGACGCTGACGCCTAATTATGTGGCGAGAAATAGCATTGGGGCACCCACCATTGAGGCCAACAATTTTGAAATCAAACCGGCCATGATTCAGATGCTTGCTAATAACCCATTCTGTGGATACGCCCATGAAGATCCAATGGATCATATTGAGAGCTTTATTCAAACTTGTGCCACATTCAAATATAATGGAGTGTCTAGTGAGGCAGTCAGGCTGACTTTATTCCCATTCTCATTGAGAGACAAAGCTTCGCGGTGGCTCCGTAGCTTTCCAAATGGGCATTTTGATACATGGGAGAAGCTTCATCAGGCATTTATGCAGGAGTATTTTCCTCCCTCTACCGCTATCAAAGTTCAGACGGAAATTCTCAATTTCACTCAAGCCCCGACAGAGACTTTCAGTGAAGCGTGGGATAGGCTGAAGACGTTAAAAAGGAAGTGCCCTGAAACATTCATGAATGCAGCCACAATTATGTGCAGATTTTATAATGGTCTTCGGTTGGAGTATATGAGAGAACTCGACCGGGCATCTCAAGGGGGTATGTTTCTGAAATTATCCCCACAGGCAGAAGAGCAGATAATTGAGAACTTAGCTTCAAATGACAAGTATTGGTATGCGGGTAAAGAGAGAACTCAAAATCCACCCGGTTTGCTCAATCTTGATCCCATCACTGCACTCACAGCGAAGATTGAGGGGCTGGCAGTGGACGTGAAAGACTTGAAGGCACAGACCTCTCAGCAGCAAGTTCATAATATTGGGGCATATCAACCCTCTTATCCTATGTATTCTGCCCCACTTCCTGTTCGAGCAAGCTATCCAAGCCCAACCGGCCAAGAACTCGCTTTATCTTGCGAGATGTGCATGGGAGCTCACCTCACTCACACATGTCCTCTTTATGCTCAGAATCAGGCATCACCAGTGGTCCAGAACGTCAATTTCATGGAATATGGTCAAGGCCAGAGAGGAGGTGGACAATTTTTCAACAATCAAGGTCAGAGGGGAAACTTTCAGCAAGGAGGAGGCTCGTGGAGGCCTGAAAATCAGAATCAAGTGCAGCGGAATGCCCCCAATTACCAAGCAAATTTCCAGAATAGGGGCAATTCAAATCAGCCCGCTTATATCCCGCCTCATCAAAGACAACTTGAGCAGCCTCCTGTAAATGTAGCGTTAGAGAAAACAGTGGCTGAATTAGCCAAAAACCAAGCGGAGATGCACCAGCGTTTTAGCAACTTAGAAGCTCTTATCCGCCAGCTTGGCTCAAGTGCTTCAAGAGAACCAGGCAGCCTTCCGAGTTCAACAGAACCCAACCCAAGAGAGCAAGTGCAAGCTGTTACACTGCGAAGCGGGAGAACACTTCCAGAAGTTAATACTCCGTCTCTGTCAGACCAACATCCTCAAGGGCTAGATTCCCAGGAAGTTGAAGAAGAACCAGTGGCTGCCCCTATTCCATCTAGGAGCAATGAAGCTCAAAAAGAAGATTCTCAGGATAAAGCGGAGAGTAAGAAGACTCCACCCTTCCCGTTCCCTACACGGGTGAAGAAAAGCAACGATAACACGAACTTGATTAGATTTATGGAGCATCTGAAGCAGCTGCATATTAATATGCCATTCATGGAGGCTTTGACAGAGATGCCGAGGTACGCGAAGTTTCTAAAGGACCTCCTCACGAAAAAGAGGAGGTGGGAAGAGCCAGAAGTGGTGGATCTCAATGCAGAATGTTCAGCGGTTGTTCTGAGGACCATGCCACCAAAACGAAAAGATCCAGGGAGTTTTCTTGTACCTTGTTCTATTGAAAACTTTAAGTTTAATAATGCTTTAGCTGATTTAGGAGCGAGCATCAATTTGATGCCTTCCTCTGTGGTCATGAAACTTGGCTTGGGTGAACTTAAGCCCACTCGTATGAGCCTCCAGCTAGCGGACCGATCGGTGAAATACCCGAAAGGAATTCTAGAGGATGTATTAGTACGAGTGGACAAGTTCATATTCCCTGTCGATTTTGTGGTCATGGACATGGAGGAAGATCGTGAGACTCCACTTATTTTAGGGAGGCCCTTTCTAGCTACTGCTAGGGCCCTTGTTGATGTTGCTGATGGTTCACTTTCTCTGAGAGTTGGGGATGATGTGTGCACCTTTAAACTCTCAGATGTGATGAGTAAGGCCTCAGACCCCACTGAATCATGCAATTATCTTGATATTTTTGAGTCAGTGGAGGGTTATTTGTTTGGAGGCGATAGTGATATTACCCCACCAGATAGTGACATTCATTATGTGGGGGATATAGTGGCTGAAAATGAAGAAGAAATGACGGTTGATTGCGAGCAGGTGATTAGGGATGATGTTTTCCCTAAGTTGCTTACTGAGTTTGAGGAGCAGCCCACTGATAAGGTTACTCCTGAACTCAAATCACTCCCTAGTCACCTAGAGTATGCATTTTTGGACACAGAGGGCCAACGACCTGTCATAATTTCAGCTCAGTTAGAGTCGGGACAGAAGGAAAAATTGTTGGATGTCCTTAGGCGCCATGAGCAGGTCATTGCTCGTAAGCTTGAGGATCTTCGTGGGATTAGCCCAACCTTCTGTACCCACAAAATTAAGTGTGAGGAGGGGTATAAACCAGTCGTGCAACCGCAACGACGCTTAAACCCCAAGATGGTGGATGTTGTAAAGGCTGAAGTCCTGAGGCTACTGGATGTGGGTATAATTTACCCGATTTCAGATAGCCAATGGGTTAGCCCTACTCATGTGGTCCCCAAGAAAGGGGGTATGACAGTTGTTCAGAATGAGAAGGGGGAATTCCTACCTAGTAGGATTGTGACCGGGTGGCGGATGGTCATTGATTATCGTAAACTGAATGAGGCCACCCGGAAGGATCACTTTCCCTTACCTTTTATAGACCAGTTGATTGAGAGTTTGGCGGGGCATGCTTATTATTGTTTCCTTGACGGGATGAGCGGGTACTTTCAAATACACGTTGATCCCGTTGATCAGGAAAAGACCACTTTTACTTGCCCATTTGGGACATTTGCATTTCGTAGGATGTCTTTTGGTCTATGCAATGCCCCTGCCACATTTATGCGTTGTATGATTGCTATTTTTGAGAAGTTTATTGGTGATTTTATGGAGGTTTTTATGGATGACTTCTCTATCTTTGGAGAGTCATTTGATGAATGCCTCCATAACCTGGAGAAAGTGTTGATTAGGTGTGAGGAGACCCACTTGGCCTTAAGTTGGGAAAAGTGTCACTTCATGGTCAAGGAGGGTATTGTGCTAGGTCATAAGGTGTCATCTAAGGAGATTGAGGTTGACAAGGCGAAAATTGAGGCTATTTAGAAACTCCCGCCTCCAAAGAATGTGAAGGCTGTCCGTAGCTTTCTCGGCCACGCTGGCTTCTACCGTCGTTTTATTCGGGATTTCTCAAAAACAGCCAAACCTCTCACCCGTTTGCTTGAGAAAGATGCTGATTTTTTGTTTGATGATGAATGTTTGCTTGCTTTTAATTGTCTGAAACTTAAGTTGATGGAAGCTCCAGTTTTAGTTGCTCCAGATTGGGAAATCCCCTTTGAGCTGATGTGTGATGCTAGCGATCAGGTGGTCGGGGCCATTCTTGGCCAACGGAAGGATAATCACTTCCGCCCCATCTATTACGCTAGCAAAACCTTAGCGGGACCCCAATTGAATTATACCACTACAGAGAAGGAGCTTCTGGCTATTGTGTATGCTTTGGAGAAGTTTAGGTCGTATATTATTTTGTCTGAAGTAATTATCTACACCGATCATTCGGCGTTGAGATATTTATTTCAGAAGCACGACTCTAAACCTAGACTTCTCCGTTGGATTTTGTTGTTGCAGGAATTTCACATAGAGATTAGGGACCGGAAGGGTTCCGCCAATCAGGCAGCTGATCATTTATCACGATTAGATGCTGAATTGGTAAACTCTTTCGGTAATGATGTTATTGAAGAACTTTTTCCTGATGAACATCTTTTGCAGGTTGAGATTGCTTCCGAGGTACCTTGGTATGCAGACATAGCCAACTATTTAGTAGGCAATGTTGAGCCTACCGGGCTATCTCGGCACATGTTAAAAAAGTTTTTGTCTGATGCTAATTATTATTTTTGGGATGACCCTTATTTGTTCAGGATTTGCGCTGACCAGGTAGTAAGAAGATGTATTCCTGAGAGTGAAATAATGAGTGAGATTTTGTACCATTGTCATGCTGGCCCCGCTGGGGGGCATTTTTCTGGTAATAGGACAGCAAGAAGAGTGCTAGAGTGTGGGTATTATTGGCCCACGTTGTTCAAGGATGCGAATTCTTATGTTGCCTCATGTGATAGGTGTCAACGGGTAGGAAATATTTCTAAACGAGATGAGATGCCCCAGACATATCTATTGCCTTGTGAAGTTTTTGATGTCTGGGGGATTGATTTTGTAGGCCCGTTTCCTAGCTCAAGAGGCAATAAATTTATTTTAGTCGCTATTGATTATGTGTCAAAGTGGGTAGAGGCTATTGCGAGCCCTACCAATGATGCTAGAGTTGTTGTGCGGTTTGTAAAAAAATTGTTTTCCAGGTTTGGTGTCCCAAAAGTTTTGATTAGTGACCGAGGAACCCATTTTCGTAATGATCCGCTAGCTCGTGTTTTGTCTAAATATGGGGTTCAACATCGGCAAGGAGTAGCCTACCACCCCCAAACTCAGGGGCAGGTAGAGAATGCGAATCGGGATCTTAAGGCTATCCTGGAAAAAGCTGTAGCGCAAACTCGTAAGGATTGGTCAGAAAAATTAGATGATGCGCTATGGGCTTTTAGGACAGCTTATAAGACTCCGATTGGTACTACTCCTTTCCGATTAGTTTATGGGAAATCTTGTCATTTACCAGTGGAAGTAGAACATAGGGCACTTTGGGCTTTAAATACTGTTTGTCTTGATTCATCTAGTGCAGGTAAAGAGCGGTTCTTTCAGCTGAATGAGTTGGATGAGTGGAGGGCTCAAGCCTTTCATAATTCATATTTGTATAAAGAGAGAGTGAAGCAGGCTCATGACAAGCACATTAAGGCGGACCGCCAGTTTGCGGAGGGAGAGAAGGTGTTGTTGTATAATTCCAGGTTGAGACTTTTTCCCGGAAAGCTGAAGTCCTGATGGACAGGACCATACACTGTACGTCGAGTGTACCCTTACGGAAGTGTGGAGATTGAGCATAATGATGGCCGGGTTGTCAAGGTTAATGGCAGCCAACTGAAACAATATTTTGGGGGAACGTTTGAAAAAAGGAAGGAAGTTTTTTGCCTTGAACCAGTTTAGGAATGAGGGCTTATTGTCAAGCTAGTGACGTTAAAGAAGCGCTTCTGGGAGGCAACCCACCAAAAAAAAAAAATCATTTAAAAAAAAAAAAAGAATTAGGAAATTATTTCTTGTTTTTGCATTCTTGTTCCCATTGTTTTTATGTTTTCATCTTGTGGTTGTGCGGGTGGATCTCTTTGCTCTGAATTGCAGGTGCTGCATGGTGATCATAGACTGGTCTGGATGAAGAAACGCCCTATGTAGATGGGGTTACTCAGGGCTACACACTGTAGTTTACTTCACAGCAAGCCTGGGAGCGATATGAGAGCTGGATGCAACTTTAAACACTTGCATGGTTAATGATGAGTGACCTACACATGCTCAAGGAGTTGGGCTTTCGCTGGACAGAAACTTGGCAGCAGCAGAGGAACATTTCTGGCAGATTCTGGGAGATTTTGGACAGTGTGAGATGCCGACTTTTGAGGCCAGAACAGCTGATCCTTGGCCGTTTTCTGTCAGCATAAGCATCACAGTACATGAGGGAGGAACCAGTTGGATGCCACACACTCTTATCCGGTTCAGATTGAAGGGAAGCAATTTCAATACACTTATTGAGTTCGGTAACCGGCATAGGTGCAGGCAGAGTAGCTCCAGCAGCTCACTTTTGGTTTACCAGCAAGCTTTGGCAGCATAAATGGGCCATTCACAGTTATGGCACACTTGCCACGCTTTCTCAAGAGTTGAAGGACTTCAAGTAGCGTACGAGGCAGACTGTGTGCAGGATTCAGCGGCATGTATGCATCGAGGAGACTGAATTCAGCCTTACTAGGGAGGTTATTCACCGCCGTTTGGCAAGTACGGTATTCTGCCAACTCTTACTATGCTACTAATAATGTGTTCTTACTGTCATATTACTCCATTGTTGATTTGTGTTAATTATTATTCTGATTACGATGTGTTGCCGGGCTGAAAATCATTTTATTTGTTAACCTGCCCCTGTTATTTCTGTTTTAATCTTTTCTTTGACCTCGAGGGCGATGTCACCCCTAAGTGTGGGGAGGTTCGGTTTTAGCTTGAACATGACATTTGGTGATGAAATGATTCTGCTCAACAACATTTTGAGGTGCACAAGATTTTTTCTAGTTTAGCAACGCAACAGAGGTAACTTGTTAATCTTTATTTTTCTTTTGTAAACTTCTATCTCCTCCATCTTTCTTGGAAAGAATTAGTAATGGTGTAATCATCGGGGTGGTGTGTATATTCTTGGGAAATGCTGGCATGTTGGATGGTTTGATTTGTGTGGATTAAATTCCGTTTTACTCGTGATTCACTAGTTCGCATTAATAATTCCTTGACTGGCCAGGTGTTGAAAATCCTTACTCCGTAAGGAGCTCTGCTTTCTAAGCATATCGGGATAACTTCATGCTAAGCAGGTAACTGATTCTTGTAATGGGGTTACACTCCGTGTGTCGAGAATTTCATCCCCGAAATGGGGCTCTGCTCATCTCGCGAATCACCCTGTGTGAGAGTTGAGTACACAGTAATGAGATAAACTCCCAGGCCCTAGAGCTTGAATCAGTCCTGTAATCCAGAACCTGGTCAACTTTTCATATAAAAAAAGAATCACGAGTATTCCGAGTTTTTACCACACAATTCTTGGGTTTTTGGAATGATTGGTGGTTTGGATTTCACACACCTGTACCGTTGGGACCATCACACTTTTCGCTACATTTTAGTCGGTTGGAGAGGAATTTTACTTTTGAAAATATTGTTTAACATGTGAATCTTGGTTCCATTGTTAAGAAAGAAAAGACCTTGTGCACCTCAAAATGTTTTGGGGTGTGAATGATTTTTGAACCAGGTGTGACATGTGATTACTTTGTTTTTCTTGGGTTTAATGCACTGTTGCTTGGGGGCAAGCAACGCTCAAGTGTGGGGAGATTTGATAGGCTCGTTCCGTTCCTATCTTTCACTCATATTTTGGGTGTTAATTGTCTAATTTTTATAATTAATCAGGTGACTATTGGGGGTTTTGAGTGAAAACTTGTCATTTTTCGGTCCCGGTGGCATTCATATTCAGTATAGTATTTTTCTACACAATTTAACATTTTTGGAGTAATTTGATTGTAAAGTTACATGTTATTAGCAGTTGTGGTGAGTTGTGATTTTACAGGCCGAATTTGCGGTGAATAATATATTGTGTGGGCCGAATCATTTGCGGGTTACTTTATTAAGTGAAGTCCAAAAAGAAAAGAAAAAAAAAAGAGAACAAGCAGCCCAAAATGGAAAAAAGATGAGCTGAGTTTTTATCCCTAACAAAGTAGCACAGTCGAGGAGGTGGTTCTTTTTCGTTTCCTGAACTCAAGCAGCCGCACGGTAGATTTTTTTTCTTTATGTTCGTAGATCACCAGCCGGAAGGAAGTTCATCTCTTCTTTTCTATTCGTAGCATACAAACGAGCATGCCGCAGCAGTAGAGTTCATATTTGTTCTTTTCGTTTCTGAACAAAAGCAGCCGCATGAGTTTTCTTTTTCCGTTGGATGAACATAGTGTTAGCAAGCAGCAGTTCTTCATTCTTTTATTTGGAATCAACCACACCAGTAGGATTTCTAAACTACACTCCTTCAATTTCTTCCAAGTTAATTTAGATTCCAAACATTAATTGTAAGTTCAGTATACTTTACAATTAAATTTCGAATTTGTTTTTCTGTAGTTGACAATTGAGATTTCCCCAAACAATTACTCTAGTTCAGTGTTTCTAGCCCTTATCATGTTTAGCAATATTATTGTGATGTTAGTTTTAAATATGAGTAGCTAATTTCATATAGGGTTTGAATTGGGGCTAGGGTTCATGGGTTCTTGAGGGTGTGAATTTAGTTCTTTAAAATTCAATTAATTTTCTGGAAAATTGTATAAGATTAATCATAATTGTCTATATGAATTTGATCACCTCATATATGAATACTTGGATTTAATTCAATTCTTGTCTATGAGAAATTGAGTTAAATTAGCTCAGGTCTTATACAAGCAATCTAATCTTAGAAATAAGTTAGGATTGTCGAAATATGATTTAATTCTTGTCTATGAGAATTTATTTCATTTTCTGTCCAGGAATAATTGAAAATTAATTTACTTAATTCTAATCCGGAAAGAACACCCAGAACCCGAACCATCCAATTTGAACCCTGCTTTTATATCTAGAATTAATTTAATTATTTGTTTTTCCTCTCTACTTATTTTTGCACTCGCTATTAGTCAGTTTATTAGTCTGTTTTATTTTCAAACCACTTAAAAAATATTTATTCGGAAAGATTATCATGACTTGTGCTAGCCTGTGATCACGAACTGTATTTAAAACTTCCTTTTTGCCACTCCTTGAGTGACGATACTCGTGGTCTGGTTATTCTTCGGATTAGCCAACTACGTTTTACTCACTATAAAATACACCGATCATTTGTAAATTAGTTTAGCCCATTATTTGTTTAGTTCGTATTAGTGCGCAGGGCTCATTTTTAGGCCCATGCTATTGTTTTTTTTAAAGAAAACTAATTATATTATAGCAACCAAATTCTCAAAGTACTTCCAAACAAACATCGCCAAACCTCCTCATGAAGCTCCGCATAGCCAAAAGGTCCTCCCACTCTCTGGCTAGACATAGAATAGATCACCTCGCAAAGAGCGAGACTATTCGCGAACCATGTGAGAGCTTCGAAGCTTTTAACGGCCAAACAAGCCTTATCGCTTCCACCCAGGCCACAGACCTAATCTGAATAAAACAACTACGGAATTGAAACTACCTCTAGTGTTCACAAAGCAGAAATTAATTCAATGTGCTGAACAATAAAATAACAAATGAAAACAACAAAATTAACTAAAAGAAGCATCCAAACCCTAGCCGCTTGTTTCTTCACTGGCGGTGGTTCAGGAGGGTGAGGAGGGGGACGCCCATGCTATTGTTGTATATTTATACTACTTGATACGTAATGAAAGATAGTAAAAACATCACCTAAAATTCTCATGGTATCAGACCCTCACGCTTGACATACCGTATGCGTTTGACATGCGAAGACCTCCCCGATTGATCATTGAGCTTCATCGAACAAGACTGGTAGCTACACCAGCGTTGTAGAATTCTTCCGTCATGTCCGGTGATGAGAAGATTGCTTCTCCATATTATTTGGGTGCTGGAGATCAACCTGGTAACGTGATAACCCACGTCATACTTACCGGTGGTAACTATGTAGTCTGGGCTCGGGCTATTATGCTTTCATTGAAAGCGAGAAGAAAATTCTTGTTTGTGGATAGCATAATCAAGAAACCAACCTAAAATTCTCAATAACTAAATTTTGTTTGGACAAAAAAATAAAAAAATAAAAAACAAATTGGAGTATACAATAATGCACCATAATGCCCTTGCAACCCTAGTTTATCCTTCGTTTCTTTGGCTGATGCGCTCTCTCACATTTTTTGGTTGATGCGCTTCTTCTCAGAGCTCAGCGGCAATGCGAAAGATGTGCAGCGACAGCCAGCGGCGACAGTGACGGAGAGCACCGACATCGAGTATCGACGGCGACAGTCAATGGTGACAGCGAGCGATGACCTCAATATCCAACCACAACAATGTATAACGAAGATAGCTGTAGTCAGCTAGATGTTTCTTTTGGATTGAAATTTGCTGATCTGGTCTGATCTGGTTTGGTCTGAACTGTTCTGGTCTGATCTGGTAAACGTCTGGTATGTGCGTATTTTATAACTATGAAAGTCAAATCTGGTCTAATCTGATCTGGTCTGGAACTAAAAACAGTTCAAAAGAAAACATCCTAAGTGACATGATTTATCGGATGCCCCTTCGGGGACATCTAATAAAATTGGTACAATACAAATAAAATATAATACTCTGTATAAAATTAATACGTGTATAAATTATCCAAGTGACATGTGATAATAAATACAAAAAAGTATAATACAAAACTAATGCTTGTATATAATTTATATTAGTGAAATATTAAAATATATTTTCCCCTTTAAGAGCGAGATATATGTTGTCGCGAAATTCAAAATTACGTGTTTATTCACTTTAGTGAAAAAATTGACTGATAACTAGATAAGTCGAAACACATAGTCGTGATCAGAGGCTCCAAAACACCTAAAACCTTTTTGCCCTGTTTGGTTGGGGTGATCTCACATGAAGGCTGGAATTTGATGCACGTAATGTTAGATGCCCTTGTTTGGTTCACCGTTCACGGGTTTGAAAAAAAATCGGGAAAATTACATTCCTGGAAATGTAATATGGAAGGGAATGTTAAATCAATCCATGCCTTAGGTTATCTCACATTTCCGGGGTGATCTGATATTCTTCCGAAAATACCTTCAATTAATTATCTCTTTTCATTTAATTTCTTTATATATTCAACTGTAATCAAATTTGATTTTTTGTGACTTTATAAAACTTTTAATGTAGTCTCTAAATATGTAAATTTTATTTACTAAAAATAATCTTATTATTGATAGAGATCAGTTAGTTTCATGGTCTGTCGAACATCGTAAATTGTGTAACAACCTTTTTTATGGGACGGACGAAGTATTAATTATATTAGAATGTCTATTTTTGTTAATTGCATAACTTTTTCCCTTAACCTTTAAATTTTTTGGTCATTTTTTCTTATTTTGGAAAAAAGTGTTACGAATAACGTGATCAATTTTTAATTTTTTTGAGATGACAATTAATATACTACCTCTGTCCCGTTGGAATGTTCCCGTTCTGTTTACGATGCTTGACTGACGATAAAGCAACTTGATCCCTATTCACACTCCGCTTATTTTTAGTAAATAAAATTTACATATTCAGAAACTACATTAAAACCGCTACAAAGCCTGATCAAGAAAAGTTCAATTTGATAAAAATTTGATATATAAAGTAAAAGATTAGGAATGACCTAAGTTGACCAATGAATAGTGAACGGGAACATTCCAACGGGACGGAGGGAGTATTTATATTACCATTTGAACAAAGTTTTTTTTCCCATTTCTGTATTGGATCTACAACTTTTTACGATTAAACATATTTTACTTCAAAATAATTGAGTTAGGTTTGATTTTATTTATTATTAAGATAATTCATTTTTTCCTTAATTTTAATCAATTTAGATGTACTCCGAATGCTGTAATAAATTTATTGCGTTAAGAGAAAAAATTTAAAAGACATAAAAGTAATTCATCACAATATAAGACATCTTTCAATCAAATAAATTACGATACATTCTCTTGATATTAACCAAACATAAATGGAAATAGATTGAATACATTCTCATTAATATAACAATCTATGACTTTCTCATGATAATTTGACATTCCTTTAACGAAAGAGAAATTTACTGGAATATGACTAAAACTCAATGAGTTTCTCAATCTATGATCTAACTAGTTTTTATACCTTTGTATGACCAAAAATCCAAAAACAAATAGAAAATCTGTTTATAATTAAATTTTGAATGACGAAAATACCCTTATTTAAAATATGTGCATTTTCCACTAATTTCGTCCAATTAAAATTACTGCACTTTATATTGTCATTAATGCACAACATTACTGCACAACATTATTGCACAACATTACTGCACATCCGATAATTATCACCTCACTTCCGCCAAAATTAATTCTCTTCTCATCCACTTTATGAAATTATTTATGGTTCTATTTTTTTAGAATAGTTTATATTTAATTGAGTATATTGCATTTTATGGCGGCCTTACTGCATTATTGGGCATATTCAGTGCACAATAAAGTTCCTTAATGCATTCATTCAATGTCATGTACAACATGTATATTGTCATATTCACTGTCATAATTATTGTCATGTTCACTGCCAATTTTCAATGCCCACAAACCCTAAATTCAATCACCATAGTCGGCAATATCTATTATCATGCTCACTATTCATATTCAATGCCCACAAACCCTAATTTCTTTTAACCACAATTTCAAAATTAGAAAAAAAAAAAGAATATGGATGGAGGAGGACGGCCACTCAAAAGTCCATCTCTATCAACCATTCTTTTAACCCACCAAAGCAACATTATCTCTATATACTCCGTATATTCTTTTTTTCTTTTTGAAGATGAAGACGTACTACACAACCTCTCTTCCTCGAACAACCACGCTGGATAACTCTTGCGGGACTTGTTGAACCAAGTACCTGCATCGCGGATCAAATCATTGCAGTAGAAGATGGGCCATGGCCTGGACGGCTGTCACGCCCCGGACCTATCCGGACACGTCAACAATCCGCCGTACAGTACGAATAGTCAACCGCAGTCCAACACATTCATACTATACAAGGCGTCTGGGATATCATTCACACATAGTACATCCATAAACAAACATAATGTAAAATATTCATTCAAAGCAGCGGAGACATTTAATATAAGTGTTCGTGCCACACTTTGGCAAACATGGGCATACAAGCCCCCAAATGATTATTCAAAAATATAATATCCATGAGCATTAATTTAAATGTTTTTAAAACAGGAACGGAGGAAGCACGAACCACGTCTTCCTTCCTTGAATTCACCCGGAGCAACGGGCACTGGTAGCAAGCTCAGCTCCTACCTGAAACTGTGAGGTGGCCTCCCCCGTGAAGGGGAGGTCAGTACTTGGAAGCATTTGACAAGTACAATGACAACTGTACTAAGTATAATCAATGTTTAAATTTCCAAGACCCTCAATCTAGGGTATTATTATCTCATGATTAACTTTATTCGTTTAGTGTCATTTCATCATTTCTTACCACGGTCTAGAGCCCAGCTCAATAATCATCGTTACCTACTACGGTCTAGAGCCCAGCTCAATAATCACCGTCATCTACATCGGTCTAGAGCCCAGCTCAATAATCACCGATAACTACTACGGTCTAGAGCCCAGCTCAATAATCACCGTTATCTACATCGGTCTAGAGCCCAGCTCAATAATCACCGATAACTATTACGGTCTAGAGCCCAGCTCAATAATCACCGTTATCTACATCGGTCTAGAGCCCAGCTCAATAATCACCGTTATCTACATCGGTCTAGAGCCCAGCTCAATAATCACCGTTATCTACATCGGTCTAGAGCCCAGCTCAATAATCACCGATTCTTTACAATTCAATTTCTTAGGATCCATTCATCCATTATTCAACTACAATTCCAACTAATATTTCAATACTAGTTATTTACTCATTTCAATGTA